TACGGCCTTGCATTGATTATCGGGGCTTGAATAAGATAACTGTTAGAAATGCTTATCCTATTCCTTTAATTACTGAGCTCTTTGATCGACTGAAAGGCTCCAAGATTTTTACCAAGTTAGATTTGAGGGGAGCTTATAACTTAGTGAGAATTCAGCAGGGAGACGAATGGAAAACAGCTTTCAATACCCGTTATGGCCACTATGAATACACGGTAATGCCCTTCGGGCTTTGCAATGCACCTGCAGTATTCCAGGACCTTAGGGTGAGGTTCTTAGGGAATTTCAGCATGAATGCGTTATAGTATATTTGGATGATATACTAATACACTCTAGAGAGATTGAAACTCACCACAGACAAGTCAGAAGGGTACTGCGCAAACTGTTACAACATGGATTGTACTGCAAATTGGAAAAGTGTAGCTTCGACCAATCTCAGATAAACTTTCTTGGCTACGTTATTTCTGGAGACGGATTTAGGATGGACCCCATTAAACTCCAATCGATTTTAGATTGGCCATTGCCTAGGGGACTCAAGGCCATTCAGAGATTTATCGGATTCTCCAATTATTATAGGCGCTTCATTAAAGGTTACTCTTCTATTATTGCTCCTATTACCAATATGACTAGACAGGGTGCTGATACCAAGACTTGGTCTACAGAAGCTCTCTCTGCTTTCAAAACACTCAAAGAACATTTTGCCTCAGCACCGATATTAGTTCATCCTGACACATCTTTGCCTTTTCTACTCGAGGTAGACGCCTCGGAGACAGGTATAAGCGCTATCTTGTCCCAAAGGCTAGGTTTGGATAAACCGTTACATCCATGTGGGTTTTTTTCCAAGAAATTATCTGGGCCTGAAAGTAGATATGACATTGGTGATAGGGAACTGTTAGCGGTCATTATGGCTTTAAAGGAATGGAGACATTTGTTGGAGGGGACATTATACCCGATTACTATTTTGACGGATCACAAGAATTTGTCCTATATAGGGGAGGCCAAGCGCTTGTCCGCCAGGCAAGCTCGTTGGTCCTTGTTTCTGACACATTTCAATTACGTGCTCACTTATAGACCTGGCTCTAAGAACTCTAAGGCAGATGCATTGTCCCGTCAACATGAACCTTCTACAGTGTCTGAAGCTGCTTTGTCTTCTATCGTTCCCAAGTGTAATATTATTGCCAACACATGTGTCAGGATACACTCGCCGTTGCTTGCTGAGATCAAAAAAGTACAACATCTAGCTCCCAAACCTGTTCCTGGGGATCGATACTTCGTTCCTCCTGAGCTCCAAGTGGAATTGCTGCATTGCTTTCATGACAGTAAAATTGCTGGGCACCCCGGCATACGCAAAACATGTTCCCTGATTTCTAAAGATTTCTGGTGGCCTTCCCTTCGTAAGGATATAAGGGATTTCGTCGGGGCATGTGCTGTCTGTATGAAGACTAAGCAACCTCACGCGCTCCCTTGTGGACTTTTGCACCCCTTAGAAATTCCCGAGAGACCATGGTCATGTTTGGCTATGGACTTCATTGTCGATTTGCCTGTTTCTAAAAAACATACTGTTATTCTCACGGTGATTGACAGGTTTACTAAAATGGCTCATTTCGTGCCCTTGCCTAAACTGCCCTCGTCTCCCGAATTAGCTGAGATATTCGCGAGGGAGATTTTTCGTTTACATGGTATTCCCTCTGAAATTGTTTCTGATAGAGGTTCCCAATTTGTTTCCCGCTTTTGGAAGTCTTTCTGTTCTCACTTAGGCATCAAGTTGAATTTCTCATCTGCCTATCATCCCCAGTCCAACGGAGCTGCCGAACGCACCAACCAAAAGATTGAACAATATTTGCGTTGTTTTGTTTCTGAACACCAGGACGATTGGGTTGGTCTGATTCCTTGGGCAGAGTTTGCACACAACAATCTCGTTTGTGATTCTACTCGTTCTAGCCCCTTTTTCTTGAATTATGGCTTTCATCCTTCCATTCTTCCGTCGGTTTCCCCTTCCCAAGGGGTTCCGTCAGTTGATGTTCATGTCGCCAATCTAAGAAAGTTGTGGGATCAGACTCGACGAATTCTTCTTCAGAATTCCATGGTGTTCAAGCGACACGCTGACAAACGGAGACGGGTGGCTCCGGTTTTTGCCCCGGGTGATAGGGTGTGGTTGAGTACCAGAAACATCCGCTTGAAGGTTCCTTCCATGAAATTTGCCCCTCGTTACATAGGCCCTTACAAGGTTCTGTGTCGGATTAACCCGGTTGCGTATCGTCTTGCCCTTCCGCCTGCCCTGCGCATCCCTAACTCTTTTCATGTTTCTTTGTTGAAGCCTTTGGTTTGCAACAGGTTTTCCTCCGCTGAGTCCTCCCCTCTCTCTGTCCAGGTTGAGGGTCAGGAGGAATATGAAATCAAATCCATTCTCGATTCTCGTATTTCTCGGGGGAAGTTGCAATATCTTGTTGACTGGAAGGGGTATGGGCCTGAAGAGAGGTCTTGGGTGGTCCATGAAAATGTGCATGCCCCTCGTCTCCTCCGGGCATTTCATGCTCGTTTTCCGTCTCGCCCCGGTTCCTTCCGCCCGGTGGGCGTTTCTGAGAGGGGGGGTACTGTCAGGTTACCTTTGGTGTCTACCTCGGAGGAGGTTAGACACCTAGACGTCCATCCTTCCAGGGGGGCTGACTCACCCGATCCTTGCACTCCTCCCGGTCGTTTACACGCCGGCCGCGATAGCTCCGCCTCCTTTTATGACGCGGCGCTCAGTAGCCGACGTCATGACGGCAATCACGTTCCGACCCGTCAATCACGGCAACCAAGTGCCGAACAACGAATCAGGACTCGTTGGGGGCGGAGCCAACAGTTAAAGAGCCAAGGTATAAAAAAGGGTTCTGTGGAATGATTCATTGCCCTGTCGTGGTTCTAGCTAGTCTGGTCACTCAGTGCACTTACCTCTATTGTCTTTTGGTTCCTGACTCGGCTTGTATTCTGACCCTGCTTTACTCTCTTGTCCTTTTGACCCGGCTTGTCTCTCGCTTACCTGATCTCTCGCTCCCTCGACCTCGGCTTGTCTCTGACCATTCTTTTTGCTCTCTCCTTACGTTAGTCCGGCCACTCTAAGGTCCGGTATACGTACCTATCTCCTGTTTGTATTCTGCGTGTTGGATCCCTGTCACGATCCTGACAGGCTTCTGGTATTACAATTCTTGTTTAGTTTTTCTGGTTTTCTATTCTATGTCTGGTTTTCTTTATGCTGGGTTTTCTGGGTTCATTCCTGTATTCCGTTCCTGGAATTCCCAGTCTCCTGGATTCCTTTAAATGTTTGTTTTATGTTGCCACACCTGTTCCTTTTCCATGATTCCTTTTGTTTCAGCTGCTCAAGTCCTCTGCCTTTTCTTGAAGCTAAGTGCTGTGTGTGTTTTATTATGGTTTATTTAGCAGACATTAGGAAGTTAGAGTAGGACCTGCCTAATATGGGGTGCATTGACGTTGTGGCAGGCTTATGCAATGTATAATCATATAATGTAACTAAATCCCCATGGTTTTTCACATATAGTACTTAGTTATGTATCCTCTTGTTTTGCCTATTATATCTTGTCTTATTTTGTATTCCCAGTCCATGTACAGTCCTGTCCTGCCCTGCCCCTGTTATGTTAATGTTTCCCTTATGTATTGTGTTCATATTCTGGGTTTAGCTTCTTATCCTTCTCTGGTTCTGGGTTCTACTAGTTCTGTCTTGTTTTCATGTTTGGTGTCTGTTCTAGTCTTGCCTTGTTTCTGTACTGGATACATTCCTGCTGCAGAGCCTCCCTATTCAGCTCCTGGGAGGTCTGCTTAATTCCAAGCTCCTAGTTCCTGGGATCCACTGAAGCTGCATCAGGGTCCAGGTATGTGGCCGCACAAACGCTGGTGCTCAACACCAGGGGGCGTGCGGTTACCCTGCACCAGACCCTGCTAATCCACTTCCACACTGTGACTCCTACTTTCAACATCAGGCATATTGGGTCCGGGTCATCGGACCGCCACCCTGACACTCAGCCAATCAGTGACTCCCCATTAACTAAACTGGCTTGGAAAAGGTACGTTTCTTTCCAACTCAGTTTAGTGAATGGGGAGTCACATCTGACCACTTTCAGCCAATCAGCAGCTGGCAGAACTCCGTACTTACTGAATCTTGAAATTCAGAAGCCACATGCAGTGCACATTGCCACTGGAGGTAACTTTGGGGTTAAACCAGTGGAGAACATTGTAGTTCCTTGAGGTAAAAGTGCTTCATTTAGATGAAGTTGTTTTTGTGCCTGAAGTGCCCTTTTAATGAATTAACAAAAAATTATACGGAAAAATACAGCATTTTCCACATATACCTTAATGTAATATGTGTATGCATTAATTGTGACTGTTTTCTTAGTAGCATTAAATAATGTGACTGTGAGACATTTATATGGAAAATAGTTATGACTAAACATGCAAAATGCCTATAAATACATGGTGCTGAAATATAAGAAATGTTTTTAAATCTGTGGATCTGTTACTTTCAGCAATCTTTGCATATTTGGCAAAGCTGCCTGAAGGTGACTACTCCGTTCAGTGGCCATGAGGTGCTCTGAAAAGTATGTATACTTACCTGAAGCTATCCATCGTGGCTACCACCATCCTCTTTCTGGTGATCGATTGTTAGCTTCTGGCACTTCAGTTCTGTACTTTTGTGCATGTGTGAGAGTACAGCACTGAGATCTGTGGAGGATCTTTCAAGATTACTGGAGCCTCCTTAGATCACGTCTTGAGATGAGCAAGATGTTACCTGAATCCCACAGCTGTCACTTGTGACAACTGCTGGGATTGGATAAAAGTTGAAACCAAAGTTATGGTATCTTTGGATTGCGTTGGAATTTCAGTGAAATTCCAATACAGTCTGCATGAGTATTTTATAAAGATTATATCTTTATAAAATACTCACCAGTGACAGAGCTGTTTTTAATATGTATTCTGTAAATCATTTTTACAGTTAATTTTGCCCTTAGCTCTTCTTCAGATATTGCAGCTTTTCCAGAAAGCATAAACATTTTAGATGGAGTATCTGAAGATGTGAGAACACCTGATAAACTAATTGATAATATAAATGATACAACTGATGGCAGGCACATGTGGCTCTCACCAATTCTTCCTGGCTTGGTAAGAATGCTACAAACATTTGATATAAATGTAATACAGTTTGAAATAATGGATTAATTGATATTGAAAGCATAATTAAACCACTGGGAGTCCATGTTCACTTTCTCTGTATTTTTTTATTTTTTTTTGTCCCTGTTATGTTTTCTTTTTCTCTGCAGTAATACAGTTTTATATGGCATGCTCTCAATACAAACATGTATTCCTGACCCTATAGTCATGGGCATTCGCAGGAATTTTTCCGGGGGAATAATTGTAATGACATCCATGCTTGGCCCCTTTTTGACAGTGTCATGAAGGGGAGGAGCATAGTCATTATCATATAAAGCCAGGGTGAATAGCGTTTTCACAACTATGGTGTCAGGAATACATGTTTGTATTCCTGACACTATAGTGTTCCTTTAAGCAAATTAAAGGAACATTCTGGTCACCATAACTTAATCTAAATGAAAATGCTATGATGCCAGGAGGCCCCTGGACGCTCTCTTTCCTGTAAGGGGTTAAACCGCTCTCAAATGGTTTAACCCCAAAGGCTTCCTCCAGCTCCAGGTCGCTCAGTAGTAGTCGGCTTCTGAAACGGAGTGTCTACCCCCCTGTACCACCCTCTCCACGGACGCCCATGCCTATAGTGTTAAAACCACCATCTAGCCCGCTTGGGACCCTCATGCCTCCAAAATCTTACTGTATTCAAGCTGTAGATTTGCATGCTGTTTGCCTCAGAAAACCAAGATGTTTGCTAATATCATCAGGAGTGGTGGCCTGATCCAATCACAATCCTTCCCCATAGGATTGGCTGAGACTGACAAAGAGGTATCAGCATCTCCTCATAGAGTTGAATTGAATCAATTAATCTCTATGAGGAAAGTTCAGTGTCTGCATGCAGAGGGAGGAGACACTGAATGTTTGGATGCATTTTAGGCAGGCATGACCCAGCAAGGATCTCTAACATCCACCTGAGGAGTGGCCAGTGAAGTTATCACGGCTGTAATGCAAACACATATATATATGGGAAAACAAGGGGCTGGCTGCACTCACCTGGACATGCTTAAATGGGGTGTTGCTGGGGGCCAATAAGTACAGTAAAAATTAAAATCCAGCGCACTCCCAAGGAGTTACCCAAGGAGTTACCCAGGGTCCGCTACAATTGGTGATAAGCAGCGGGATCCTACTTCCCTGCCAACAGACCCATGGATTATAATTCCTTAAAAAGGCAAACCCTACAAGACTTGCTGGAAGCAAGAGGGAAACCGGCCGGCAACCGTAAAAAAAAAAGCCGACCTGATTGCCGAGCTAATAGAAGACGACAAGTGAAGAAATGAGGAGGCTGCCCCACAGCCGGAGGGGGGAAGAAGAAGCCTTCGCCAGAATGATGAGGCAGCGCTTGGCCTTCTACAATAAGCCTCCCACGGTAGAACTCCTGACCAAGCTTTGAGACCCAAGCCTTTGTCCTACACCCGAGGAACCGTGGACCAGAGAGGGGCCGGCCACCCTTACACCCAAACCAAAGTTGCCCCCATACTGCCTTCAGGGAGTTCAGGGACGCAGAGGAGGGCATTGAAGAATTCCTGCAGGACTTTGAGTGCCTCCTGCTAGAAGTCAAGCAGGCGAACTGTGTCGCCATCCTGGGCAGCAAGATGACAGGAAATGCTGCAGAGGCGTACCAAGCAGTACCTGGGGGCCAGATCCGCGACTACGTAGCTGTGAAAGATGTCCTACTGGCGAGGTATGCCATAACTCTGGAGGCATACCGGCGGAAGTTCAGAGGGACAAGAAAATGGGAGAAGGATTCCCATACAGAGTGGGCATGCCGCATCCACGAGCTGCCCAGAACTGAACTTGCAACAAGAAAAGTCCTCCGAGGAGGTGCTCCACTTGTTCATGGTGAAGTACATGAAAATCCTGTATTTATTTAAATAAGTTGGATGTTCTGCAGGGAGATAGCAAGTCCAGGTAGGTTTGTAGATAGGTCAGGAAGACGTGTTGTACATGTAAGTTTGGAGCAGGTTGGTGAGTATTGCAGGATAAGTAACCAAAAGGGAAATTCCACAGGTAAACTCAGGAGCCAGGATATGAAGTATTTTCAGGTTATCATCAAACTTCAATGTCAAGGCCACTTGCTTTGTCAGGTGTGGCCTTTTATAGCAGTATTTGATTTCATGTTCTACAGGTGAGAGTTGGAAACAGGTACTGGAATTTAAAGGAACGGTATCAAATGGAAAAAAGTCTTGCTAGTCAGGGTAGGAACCTGACACCACGTTGGAGCTGTGCTGGATAGCATCAGGGAGGCAGGGTTGACACTGAAACCGAGTAAGTGTCACCTCGGGATGGCAGAGGTGCAGTACCTGGGGCACTTGGTGGGGTGTGGGGCACAGAAACCTGAACAGGTCAAGGTAGAGGCAGTAGCTAGTTGGCCCCATCTCTGAACAAAAACCCAGGTGCTGGCCTGAAAGTTTGCCCCCAACTACAACGTTATAGCTAAATCTCTCACTGACCTGACCGCAAAAACCTACCTACCCCGACAGGTAGCCTGGACCCCAGAGTGTGAGCAGGTGTTCCAAGCCCTCAAAAATGCCCTGGTAAATGCCCCTGTATTGGCCGCTCCTAATCCCAGGAAACGTTTTCTCGTCCACACAGATGCCTCCATGTTCGGATTGGGAGCCGTACTAAGCCAGGTGAGGGATGATGGTGGAGAACACCCCATTGCTTACCTCAACAGGAAGCTATTACCCAGGGAGGTGAGCTACGCTGCCATCGAAAAGGAGTGCCTGGCGGTGGTGTGGGCCCTCAAAAAGCTACAGTCCTATTTGTACGGACAACCCAGTACGCAAAATGGCAATGCCGACGGGCTGTCCAGGCAGACCAGTGATCCGTGGGTGCTTCCCTCGGACATCCGCAGGCCGATCCTTTAGGCCTGCGGATGCTGACCAGTGGTTAAGGGGGAGCTGTGTAGCGGAACCCCCACTAATCTGTGAACTTCCCCGGTTACCCTGCAATGTGTGTTACTGTTCTGACCTCCCTTTCATGTGTTTTCCCTATCTTGACCCTGTGTTTCATTTGTTGTGTTTGTAGTACTACCTGCTCCCCGTTCAGGAGTTCCGCCACAAATGGGACTTAATTCGCCTCCCGAACAGGGACCACCACAAAATCCCATTTAGAATTTAGTTTTAGAACGTTTGCACCTTATAATGAGGTGTCAAAATCACAAAGCGCAAGGGGATCCTCGGCACGTGCCTCCCCTGCCATCCAGGAGGAGCATTCGCGGATTGTTTCCCACATCGTTCAGTTCCCGAACGAGGACCTCCATGGCACCCACTGGAATGTTCACACCAATCAATTAGAACGCTGGCAACTCGCAAGGTATGAAACTGCAAGGGAAGGCCAGGGGGAGCATTTATGTCCCGAAAGGAGATGCTTCCCTTACCCAATTCTACACAGGGACCCCACGTACGTTGGCTGTTCATGCCGGTTATCGTGCTGGGGGTCCCTAAGATTGGGGGAGACATCCTTTTGGACAATGGCGGAGGTTAGTGGGCTCTCCAGATAAAGAGACTTCTAGGAAGAAGATCCTGGGCAGGGGGAGGGCCCTGGGTGGGGACACCAAGTGGCGGAAACAGTGGCCGTTTGTCAGGGGACCCCTGGGAGAGGACACTGAGTGGCGGGGACAAAGGGTTCTGGTTCCGTTATACAGCCCTCGGTGGGGGAGGACCCTGGGAGGGGACACTTTTTTTCAGGTGTGTTTTACAAAATTACACTGCCTACCAGTGATGCCATTTACAATTATTGATATATATTTTCTGTCATATACTGCATAACTTTTTTCCACATTTTAATATCATATAGATCCCTATCGGTCTGCCAAAACATGATATTAAATTCATCGAGGCATGGATTACACAAGACCTCTGAATGTGTCCTGTGTATCTGGCAACAAGACTTGACTTCACCTTTGCTTGTAGATACTTTTTAAAGATTCTTGACCTGATGGGCTAACCCTCAGCACCCTTTGCTCACTTCCACATGTGTCATCTGCAGTGGTCTGTTCTCCACTAGTTAACATGGGAAACATAGAATGTGACGGCAGATGAGAACCATTCGTCCCATCTAGTTAGCCCAATTTTCTAAATACTTCCATTAGTCACTGGCCTTATCTTATAGCTAGTAAGATGGAAACTCCAAGGATCTCTTTCAGCTGGGACTTGAGCTTCTCTCCTTTCGTATATTGACCACCCCTTATTGACTCATAAGTGTTCCTTCAGGGTGCTAATGTCAACCATATGTGAGAGGAGTGTCAAGGAGGGTGCTGTGTGGTCAGAGGTTCACAAGCGCTACATAGACATTTGGGAAATTAACTTTCTCAACCACCAGACCTTTCATCCAGAGCTGTGGAGTCTGTCTGCTTTTTTTCCTCCCAGATTGTTGTCTTCCTGAGATACACATGATGGCTGCTCAGTCAAATTCCCAATTTCCATGTCTTTTTCCATGGGCAAGGATCTGAGGGCAAGCCTGGTGGATACCCCAATGATTCTGTAGATTCTGCTTGATCTGTCTCTTGCCCTTGTTGCTTCTGGTGGTGGCCAGGATTTATCAAGAATTGGCCCCAGATTATAATAGCTGTGTAACGATGCTGCAATTGGTATTCAACTCTGGTAGAGATGGTCACAGTCCATCTGTAGACATTTCCACTCCTTCTGCAGTGTCCTTTCTGTCATCAAGATCTTCTGTGTGTGACAGCCAGAAGATTGAACATGTCATGGCTTCACTCATCTCCCTCCAGCCCTGACTTACCTGACTCTCCCATACTGCTCCACCATGACCCACTAGGGTTAAAACCTTAGCATTGGTCAGGGTCAGGGCTCCACCTTCTGGTGTCAAGGAGCATGCAATCCAAATGTGGCAGATTTTATGCAGAGTAATGGAGGCTGTGGGGTGGTGTCAGGGATGCAGGGATGATGTGTACAAGGGGTGTCTCCCTTTTCCTCTATATAAAGCCCATGCACACATAC